TTGAATACATTCTAAAATACTGAAGATTCAATCTCAATTTTACTTGATGATGGCTTAATCATCAATTTGCCTTGGCAACATACAACAAATGAAAGTTCATTAAATTGAAGAATCTTCCGGCTTTTCAATAGATGTCCATATGAATTTTTAATAATTTTTTTGCATCATGAAAGACCCAAGATAACACAACTGGTCATGTCATATAATAAAAGTATTTGAATTAGTAAACTTATGGTTTACTATAATATATTTTGTTTTCAAGCATTCCAATGTTGGTAATAAAGAATAGACGAGAAAGCGAATAATTTCTCCAATACATGCTTTCTATCCGATATAATTATAATCTTTAAGAATTCAATTTTTGACATTTGTCGTCTTAATATAATGTCCATTTAAATAAATATATTTGAAACTCAAAAAATTTCTATGAGACTTTGAAGAGATAAATACATCATTCATAATAAATTTATCCTTTCGGATAATAACATATTTGCTCTTCCGGAGCCTTTAAATTGTGTTACTTCAAGCAATAATATACCGACTCTTCTAGAGCCTTTAAACATTTTCTTTTCAAATAATAATTTATTTACTCTTCTAGAGCTTTAAAAATTTATCTCTTCAAGTCATGATCTAATCACTCTTCTAGAGCCTTCAAAATCTATCTCTTTAGATAATAATATAGTCGCTCTTATAGAGCTTTCTATTAGATTGATATTATCATATATAATATTAACATAAAATAAAATAATCAAATATATTCCTCATAAACACAAACAAATAAATAAATAGTAAAAATAAATTTGTAACCAACAATATACGACATAAATTATAAGAAATATAAAACATTTTATTTATAAATAGAAAAACTAACAAGTAATTAATTTCAATTACTATTACTTTGATATATAAAAGTGACCTTCATATTTTACTCTTTATTTTTTAATAAGGCTTGACAAGCCTCAATGAGGTGCTTTGGTATACGACAAGTAAACGATCAATATTCATTCATTCCGCCTCTATAATATTTATTTTTCGAATACCGACTTTATCTATTTTTATTTCTTTTTTTCATAGTTATCCACTTCGGTGGTGAAATGTAATATTATGGTCATTACGATTATAATCATAATTATTTCGACCATATCCATGGCTATGGCCACATCTTCATCCATATCTAAAATTATTATAAATTATCACATTCACTTCGGGGAATGGAGTAGATCCAATTGGATGAAATTTATTCTTTTTCATTTTATTTAGCCACTAACAAGTATAAAATCGATCCAAAATATTTTTTAAACTCTTTTTCTCGATATGCTATTGCGAGAGCATATCCAAGATATAAAAAGTAGAGAATATTTTTTAAAATTAGGCACTCATAATCAATAATTCTTATTCAAAATATCAAGAGTCACCAAATCAAGTTTATGAGGTTTGATATGATAAAAATTCTATAATACAATATATAATAATAATATTAGAAAATAATAACAAATATAATAATAAAATTAAAGCTTTTCAAATAACATATATTAGATCATTAGTAGATCATTTAAGTTTTTCAAATATATATTTCATGTATCAATAGATTTAAAGTACATGAATAAATTAGATACATACCTCTTAATGATCTAAATAATTTAGATCTTTTCGTGGAGCACTTGTGTAGAAGAAATCCAATTATTGAAACAATTGATTAAATCTTTTGGTAGATACATACCTCATGGTCTATTGTCTCGATTGGTTAGAGCTTCCTGCTGATAATGTGTTATAAAATAAATAGAAATGATAGTAGAATTGAAGAAAAGGATGACAAGAAAATAAAATCACTATAATGTGAATATGAGTGATAAGAACTTCAAAGTTTCTCTTATTCTCTCTAGGAAACTTGTACACCAACTAATGAACAAATCAAGCCTATTTATAGGCTTCAAAATTGAGAAGAGAATTGGAAGAGACTATGAATAATCAATTGCATCACCATTTCAATTTCTCATATTGAATGATGAATTGAATCATATTAATAATCATGAGTAGTGAGAATATGAAAAGTGGATGAACATGATGATGGACATTCATTATTTCTTAACATTACGAACCTTTTTTTATATTATTTAAATCATATTAAACGATAGTTTTGTAATTCAATTCAAAACTGTTGTGATTGTTGAAACAATTGTTTGAAACACTAAACACGTTATTGCTTCAAACAATAACAAGTAATTTTTTTTTTTACAATTATTGAATATATTTTTTTAAAAATTATTTCATTAAAAATAATCTAACACGATCTCAACGCTGAATACGAGTTATTGAAGTCAATACACGTGGGTAATGTTAAAAAATACTAGGATATTATATTATCCCACACGAATATAAAAAGACAACATAGATCAAGAACTTACGGAAGCTAGAATTAATACTAGTGATAAGAGTTTATTCTCTTAAGCGTGAGTTTTGTAATTTCTCGCTATTAATAGAATCCGTTGAGAAAAAAATTATTTGATGGCATTAATGAAACTACCAATATGTGATATGTGTTATTTTGAAAACCATGCTTGTGAAATTTTAAAAGTATTACTATGTATATTCTTGACATAATTTTTCAAAAATACATATGAAAAATGCTTTTTGCTAAGTTGCCAAACTCCTGGTCGAAAGCATCAAAAATAGTTTACAATCTTATCCTAGAAGAAAATTAAATAATGTATGGATTAAGAAAAAGAATGCAAACAATAAGGTATGTCACGGGAAAATCAAGTACCGAGCTTCAAATTAGGCAAAATGCTAAGAGGTTGCTTTATCTAGATAAAAATTATTGCTCTCATATAGAATATGTTGCATGAACATATGGTTTTATAACAGAAGAATCATCTAAAAAAACAAGATACCTTTTAAGAAACGAAGATTTAAAGATTATATATAAAAGAAGAAAGGTATGACTTTAGATCAAATGAATTCTCAAGCTAAATACTTAATGTATAACACTAGAACAATGCATATATTGATGGTGAAGAGAATGTCTAAATTAACAGAATTGTTCGAAGAAGATGTAGAAAATTATAGACAGTTCTATTGAAAAGAGATTAATCGTTTAGCATAAAAGACAATAAGGAATGTCCTATAACCCTTTTCTCTAAACACGTATCGTTCAAAACCATAATATAATTTGGATAGACTTGGAACTAAACTCAATCATGGACCAAGTTTGTTTATATTCTTGGTATCAATCGATCTTTAGAGTCTTCCATTTATTTATTTATTTATCTAAGGCAGCTCTATGCTGGTAGATTGAATAACGGGATTGATTCCAACCGGACTAGGTCAATGTAGATATACTTATAAACCTCTCTAGAATTATGTACCATCTTTCTTATCTTTGAAACATTTATTACGAGGACATCCAACGTTTCTAGTTCAGTACTAGTCGTTAATTCAACTAAGGAGACATTAACTATTGACTTGAAATTAAACAGTTTTAAATTTTTATATACACTGTTAATGTCGACTTTAGGTAGTAGATTTTTTCCAAATCTATTTATTCCCTTAGAAAAAATGCTTCCATATCTTAGATCTTCCTAAATCTACATGCTCATCCTGATGTCTACTTAGTTTTTTCACCTCAAGATTTAATATTTTTAAAAATTTTCAAATGTCTTACTATTTTACTTAATACTATAAATTGATTTCTCAAATGAAGGTAGTTACATTCTTGAATTTTAATTATTAAGATCTTAATCAATGTTGAGTGTTTGTAGATTCTAATTAAGAGGCTAATAAAATATAATTATATATTGTTTGTTTTGTCTTTTTTAATCTAACTCTATCTTCTTCTTTTACAAGTTGATTAATTTTTTTATGATCACAATCTTTATCCTTCAGATACTCGAAGTTTCCTAGTAGCCTTTACTACTAGTTGCAAATATTTTTTAATTCATTTATACTTTGAACTTTTGGATTAGAATCGCAAAATGTTATTTAAACGAGACTTCTATCTCTATGATATCTTAAATAAAAAACAACATCACTAAAATACAATCATTAATCTAGGTTTTTTTTTTTCACATGCTCCTATAGAATATAAAATAAAATAAAATAAAACCTGCACATGCATGTATATACATTGCTCCTGTTGGGAAAGTGTTCATATTCATCTCAACTATGCATTTAGAGTTTATTGCAAGGACAATTGATTGATCTATCGGAATACTGATGACTTTTTGATTTGAAAAAAAAAATTACTTATGAAGTTAAACGACTTGAGCATAATTTGTCTTTGAATTAGTTTTATTAAAAAAAAATTTCAGTATATCTTTATATAATAGATCGAGTATCTAATTTGTCTTTATATCTTTAATTGCATCTATCATGTCACTAAATAATGTTTAAGTCTTCAATTTGTTATTTTGATTAATTTTTTCTATCATAAGTAAAATTTTGATCAAAATGTCATTGATTGAATTGCCAAACTTAAAAATAAAACTCTAAATATTTAAAAATAAAACATGGAGGTGATATGATTTTAAGTAGTTATATTTTTATTTTTTGTTTCATTTCAATAAAAATTATTTCGATCAAAAAGTTTACTCATAATAAAAAATTAATCATAAGAATAAATTAAATATTATTTAAAAATATAATATATATAATTAAAAATATAGAAATCGAATAAGGCTCACACTACCATACGAGAACAAATATTTATCCTTAAAAAGAAAAAAGAAAAAAAGTCAAGCAGCAGCATATAGAATTAAGAGAGCCCAAATAACAATTCTAAGAGCCCCACATCTCAGCAGCATAAAATATATATAATTAAATCTATGGCCGTAATTTAAAGCCCAAATAGCAATTCCAAGAAAAAAAGAAAAAAGCAAACCCAAAGCCCCACATCTCAGCCCATGAGCTTCTTAATTCGATGTTCTTCCTGCTAAGAGCAGCAGCAAATTCAGAGAGCACCAAAAAATCACACTTCAGATCTCTTTCACTTAACAGTTAACACAATGGCTCCTGTTGCTCCCCGATCCGGTGACGCAATCTTCGCTAGCGTTGAACACGTGGTATGCCCAAATTGTCTCTTCATTTTCCTCCATTTTTTCAGTAACCAAACACAAACTCGTGATAATCTAGAATTTAATTCGATTGAATTTTTAGTTTCCTCTAATTTTTCTCACTTACTTACCATTTAAGCAGGAAATTTTTGTTCTTGAAGTGGGGGTAATTGGTAATGATAGTGTTTTAGATGTGTTATTGATGTTTGTAAGTGAATTTGATGTAGAATGCCGAGTTATTTACGTTGACTTATGGAGCAATTGTGCGTCAGTTGCTTACGGATCTCGAAGAAGTTGAGGAAGTTAATAAACAGCTCGATCAGATGTATGTGTTATGTGTAATCTCTCTGATCAACATTTAATTATGTTTGTATTCATTTTGATTGCTTAATTATGGTTTTCAAAAAGCATTGATGATTTTTTTTTTTTTTTTTGTACGGTTTTTATAACTTAAGCACAAAGATATATGGGTTTAATTCAAAAAGCTAGTGAAATTGCATAACTTTGGGATTTGATGGTGCTACAATTAGATATCTACTGATAAAAAAGTAAAAAATTGTTTGGAATTTGAGAATCAATTTTACATCTTGTTTGCTGAATTAACCTGGCAATATGATCGTATGTGTTATCGAGTGATGAATTCTGAATCGATCATATGATGAGTTGATTATTTTTGCAGGGGTTATAATATTGGAGTTAGACTGATTGATGAGTTTCTAGCAAAATCCAGTGTTTCCAGATGCGTGGACTTCAAGGAGACAGCTGATGTAATTGCAAAGGTCTGCTTACGTTATTTGATTCATCTCACAAAACATTAGTTGGCTCAAATTTTCCTCCTGATTGTTTTGAGTCCAGTTGTTAGACATGTCAATCAACATGCTACTGTCTCTGTTATCTTTTCAGTGTTATCTTGTGTTTTCTTGTGTATATTGAGCAAGTGGATAATGTGAATGATGGTAAAGATTTGATTCAGTGGATGAAGATAGTTAAGTTGAACTCGTCTTTAGCATTGAGCCAAAAATGACAATCAACGTTTATTTCATTATCTAATTAAACCTTGTTTCCAACATGTATGCTACCCCATTATCGTGTGTTAACAAATAGCCTTGAAGAAATGGCAATCTGTCCAACCTATATTGACTAATTCAATCTAATATCTGTTATGTTGAATTCACTGCCAAAAGCATATTCAATGTCTTTGGTTGGGAAAGGAACTTCCAAACAAATACCGACTGCCTGGTGATAGCTTCAGTCTGTTGTGTGCTATTTGGTGGTCTAAGTCTAGCTAAGGTTGTTCTGGAATGCATGCATGTTTTTTAGCTTTCTTCAAGTGTGTCTCTTTGGTATATCATTTTTCATGACATGTTCATGCGGTGACAATTCCAAATAACATCTCAATTTTCTAGTAAGAAAGTAAAGAATAGACCATATTTATAGACTAACAGAGCTCTTACACAGGTTGGTTTCAAAATGTTCCTAGGGGTAAGTGCCTCTGTTAGCAACTGGGATGCTGATGGGACATGTTGCAGCATTGTTTTGGAGGACAATCCCCTGGTTGACTTTGTTGAACTTCCAGACACATGTCAAGGTCTATACTATTGCAACATCTTAAGTGGAGTCATTAGAGGAGCACTAGAGATGGTGAGTGCCTTCCTCTTCTATTACACAGCATTATCATTGTCCTTTTACTCCAATGTGTGTTTTTCCTAATTTTGGTTTTTGTCCTTGGTACAAAAAATGGATATAGAATAAGGAAAACTTGGTTTTGAACTCCCTTGCATGCATTGATTTTTTGCAAAGTAAATTATGAAGTTGGCATTTAGTTAGTGCAGGAATCACTTCTCATTTAAAGTTTTAATAACACTACTTAAAGCTGAGAGGACCAGCTCTGAGGAATTTCAATCATTACAAAACATGACTTCTCCTGATCTATGATAGAGATGATGATAGTTTCCCTCGATTTGAACTTTGAGTATCATCACTGGTCTTCATATAGATGGAAATGATTGTCATGAGCTTCCTAGCCACCTTTTATATGCAGCAGACTGTATGTTCTGGTAAGGGGGAAAAAAAGCAATGTAATGTGCCTGTTGCTCTGAAATTTCTCTAAGCATCAAGCCTGTATTTTGAGAGCATGCAGGTCGAGCTTGGATCAATCTTTTCTTTATTTGTTGTTCTTCTGATCTGTCTCATCTTCAATTTCAGGTGTCAATGAAGACTGAAGTGACATGGGTTCGTGACATGCTTCGAGGTGATGATGCATTCGAGTTGCAGGTGAAACTTTTAAAGCAAGTTCCAGAAGAGTACCCATACAAGGATGATGAGTAACATAATTGGGCTCTTGGTGTGTTCTTTATTTCTTGTCCTTTCCTTATGAAGAACATAGAATTTTTAACATGTCTTCTACTGATGCATGCTCATTTACAATAAACTTAAAATGTATTTATTTTGATATTTGTAATCTTTTAATGAGTATGATTAAACACCACCACTAGAACGTTTGATTGGTTGTTGTGCTTGGTTGATTTTTGATTCTGTGCTTTGAGAGTGATTATATTCATCAGACAACCAGCCTTTGATGGAACCGTAGCTTCAATTATTACCAAAAGTTTGTGATTCTCATCAGATATTAGTGAGCCATATAGCTTGATGGTTTGTTTTTGAAGAATATGTGATTCGACTTATGTCACTTGTTTGATGGGGTTTGTCCAGTGATGTAACAGTTTGAAAAAGCAAAAATAGATATCTGACATTTAAATGCTTAACAGTCTCGTATAGTTCTGTGTTATTCTATTCTAAGTTCTGTTCTTGTATTCACATCTTCTTTGATTTTTGCTTATTGCCCTAACATGAGACACAGATACATGCACAATGGATTCCTGGTACCAAACTCACCATCCTGTCTACTCTGCTTCATTATTCATTCATTATAAAAGGGGGCTAGTTGGTAGTAATACCTCTGAACTATATTACGTGTTTTGATTGACACTTCTTCTGTTATATTCCATCTATTTTTCTGTTGAAAAACATGTGAGTTGCATCTGTTTCTTTGGAATATATATATATATATATATATATATATATATATATATATATATATATATGTAAAAATCATTAAAAAGGTTAATAACCTCCACTAATATTATGATGAAAACATCGTTTACAACTTGCATGTGATATTTGATGGTTGAATTGAACAGATACAATAAAAATGTAAAAGAATGTTCGTCAAACGGCCTGACCTATGTGAAAGGTTACGGCATATGTCCAACAAAGCTGATGTGGATCTCCAAGGCATGCGGATCTGATGCAAGGATTGGCATAGGTACTCGGAAATATTTCATTTTGTTCTACATTAAATTTTGAGGCCCGTATTCATCAATTCTAGGAATGATAACTGCATCTCTTCTGGTAGAAATCTAAAATCTGTTTCCGTTTATCCGAAAAGTAGAAAGGGATTTTTGTCTTTGAAGGCTGAGACGGATAAAAATAGTGAACTAATTAGAGTATGTATAATTTTTTCTTTTAATATTATCTTGATTAACTTTATATATTAATCTAATTTTTTTAAAAAATAAAGCTATGTATTTTATTTAATGAAAATTGATTAAAAAAATAAAAATCATGGGAACTATCATTGAAGGTTAGGCTCCATCAGATGTGAAAGATTGAAAATTACTTTCCATACAAATAGAGGCAACAAGTGTTGAAATTACAAGACCACTTGCGATACAAATAGAGGCAGCAGGTGTTGAAATTACAAGACCTCCATAAGGCATAGATGTAAGATGCCATGGATATCCATTAGCATCCATGCAGGTGGCAACCGACACATGAAGGGTTGCCATCTGAGATTTCCAGGTGTTAAGGACTAGGTTGCTGGGATTTTTATATTTTGATTCTTCACATTTGTTGAATGGTAACAATTGAAAATGAGCTACCGAAAACTCGTAATCAATGTATAAACAATCAAAGTGGTTCACCAAAAATGATTTTTCAGCAGACTTGCAGCAATCAGCAAATTTTTTTGAATATTCTTGAGTAGCTAAATTCTCTAGGGCAGACCTCCAATTAACATAATTCGATCACATATTCAACAACAATGGGGATTGTCAGAGGTTCCAGTGGTAGGCTTACTTGATCCCCGCCATGTGATAATTAGAATGTTCACCAAAGAAGACCTCATTACAGCGTGGTCCCATGATCAACACATCATCGAAAACTCGATTTGTAGATTGTTTAGATGGACAGAATCATTTACTACCAAGCATGAGTCTCCAAAGGTAGCCATATGGATGAGGCTTCTGGGTCTTCCTCTTGCATTCTTTCCTTCAGCTTTTCTCAAGGAGATTGTGCGTCCGTTTGGGAACTTCTTATGTCCAGATACACGCACAAAAAATTGTTCACACCCCCTTCACGCTAGAGTTTCTGTGGAAGTTGATCTTACAACGTCAATCCTATCTAGAATCCGTTCAGGAACTTCATATAGATCAAGCTTCTGGGTCTGCCTCTTGCATTCTTTCCTTCAGCTTTTCTCAAGGAGATTGTGCGTCCGTTTGGGAACTTCTTATGTCCGGATACACGCAAAAAAATGGTTCACACCCCCTTCACGCTAGAGTTTTTGTGGAAGTTGATCTTACAACGTCAATCCCATCTAGAGTCTGGATTTCGGTGGGTACAGATAAAGCAAAAGGCTTCTGGCAACCCATACAAGTTGAATCAAACACTAGCTATTGTAAACATTGTCTCCTTCAATGTCATGCAGTTAGCAATTATCGTAAAAGGTTTCCTAACCTGCAGGATGAACAGAAGCAGATAAATGCAACGTCGTTTAAGAGTAATCCACAGCAGATCAAATCTCCCTTTCAACCACATCAGGTGATATCTTCAAACAAAGAGCAGGGATGGCAAGTAGTGAAACGAAAAAATCAGGTGACACACATTACTCTAGTATCAGGTCTCACAGGCAGCGTCATAGAACAGCAAACAAACTTTCCAGGGAACAGGGTAAACCAGGCAAAAGGGAAAGAGTTAATGGTAGCACAAACCATGATAACTCAGGCCCCCTAGGTGAAGGAAGTTAATAGGGGAGCAACATCTTCTTCTAGATCTCTAGACATGGGGACACATCAGTGTAATGAAGGGCCATATGAACAAACTGGAATTAACAGTGGTATAAGGCATACTGTACAGGGTTCGGATACTAGTCTAAGCATATCTCCTACACTCCCCACCCAGGCCCTGCTACAAGGGGTGATAGACAATCCAAATAGACTAATAGATAATAACAAGGATAATCTTGACAAGGTATTAGATCAGGGAAAAGGTCGGTAGAAGTCTCTAACAGATAATAGTACAATTGTCCCTAATGATAACCGAGATACTGGCAGTACGGAGGCACTAGGTTCTAGGATTGGAAGAACTAACCTCGCCTAACCCTTTAAAATGTTTGGAAGGGATGAAAAAAGGTGGTATGGATGATAGTAAATTAATAGAACAAATAGAGACAGATCTCTCGCCTCATGCAGTTTCAGAATTAGGTATGGACAAACAGTGCTGAATTGAGTCAGGATATTAGGGGAAGGTTGATTGGTTGAAGTCCTTAGGTCGTACATTGTCCAACAAGCAAAGAAAGAAGCACCTGTGAAGTTTGGTTCTTCATAGTGGAAAGAGGGTCACTAGATCAACTGGAGATCATAATGGAGAACCTTTTTCTCCTTTCCCAATAAATAGCATGATATGGAACATAATGGGTATTGGTGCCGTAGGAAAAAAGAGGTACTTGCATAATCTCATTCGGCAAAATCAGGTATCTCTCATTATTTTAGAACCTAAACAAAGCTGTAATAAATTACCCAAACTTGCTAAATATTTGCAATTTTTGGTATACCTTCATGAGGACTCTATAAATAATCATATATGGTGGCTATGGAAGGACATTTTAGTTGTTGATGTATAATTTATTTATCCCCAGTCTATCACTGTCGTTGTGTAAGACTTAGCTACGAATTCCAGCATGTTATTTACTGTAATGTATGCAAGCTGTAATGTGGCTGTCAGAAGATTTTTATGGAATAGTTTGTATGGTCTTAATGTCTCTCAACCTTGGGTGCTTAGTGGGGACTTCAATGCTATAGCTGACGTTTCGAAAAAAAAATTAGGAGGTCGGCAAGCTAATTTAGGGTCTACATTTGATTTTAATGGTGGAGTTCAATCTCTAGGTTTGTAGGAAATGGGTTTTATAGGGAGCAAATTCACTTGGTGTAATAAGCAGATGGGAGGAGCTCGTCTCTGGAAGAGATTAGACAGGTTTATGGTTAATCATGCTTTCTTGTCATCCTCTCCGAGATTGGTTTGTTCTCATCTAGCTAAGGTTCATTCGGATCACTGTCCTTTATTACTAACCATCAGGGACCCAAATCTGAAACCATCTAGATTCTCCTTCAAGAAAATATGGACGTCACACAAGGATTTCCTTTCATTTGTTCATCAAATCTGGTCTACTAATTTGAGTCACAAATCGTTTCTTAACTTGCACCTGAAACGGAAGCTACTTCGTAGAGAATTGAGGGCTCAGAACTAGAATGTAATTGGGGATATTAACAGGCTGCTTGATCATGCTAGAGATGTGGTACTCCAGTCAGAAATCATTTTACAAGGTAAATGGAGTGAAGGAAATTATAATAAGTTGAAAGCAGATAGAGAAAAATTAGTTGAGTTAACTAATCATGAGGAATTGATACTGCAAGAGAAATCACGAGTTAAATGGTTGGCTGCAGGAGATTGTAATTCTGCTTTTTTCCATGCAAGCATTCGAAATCATGCATCAAAGACTAAGTTTGCGCTCATTTTAGATGGTGGGTCTCTCTGCATGGATGACAAAAAACTAGGCAATGAGGCAGTTGAATAATTTTAGAAAAATCTTTGCTAGTGAAGCGGTTACATTTGAAGATTCTTTCCTTGATGAAATTTCGGCTTTGATTTTGAAATCATAAAATACGAAGTTAATGGCCATCCCTTGACATGGAAGAGATCAAAACTGCAGTATTTGAGCTCGATGACCTTAACGCTCCTAGACCGGATGGATTTAAGGGTTCCTTTTTCAAAACTTGTTGGGAGATTATCAATAAGGATGTGATTTTAACTGTACAAGATGTTTTCAAAGGTAGAGAAATACCAAAGAGGGTAATGGCTACTACCCTAATCCTGATTCCTAAATGTTCAAACCCTTCTAACTTTGCAGAGATGAGATGGATTAGTTTATGTAATTTCACATACAAGATTTTATCCCGAGTGATCAATACTAAACTAAGTACACTACCTCCGAAGCTGATATCGAAAGGACAATCAGGGTTTGTAAAAGACAGAGCCATCCATGAAAATGTGGCTCTTGCATAGAAATTATTCAACGTCATTGATCGAAAAGTTCATGAAGGCAATGTTATTATTAAAGTGGATATGTCTAAGGCCTATGATAGAGTAGAGTGGAGGTTTCTTATTAGTGTTATGAGGAAGTTTGGATTCTCCAATAGTTGGTTCAATTTGATATACCGCTACTTGAGAAACTATTTCAGTGTGTTTGAATTCCCAAACCTTTGAATTTTTCAAATCTCACATAGGCGTAAGACAAGGAGATCCCCTATCGCCTACGCTCTTCATGTTGGATCAAGAGGCCTTTAGCCACTAACTTAATGCCTGGATAGGAAAGGGTAAGATCAAACCATACTACACTAGTCGAAGTACTCCCATTATCTCTCACCTCTTATTTGCAGATAATATGCTCCTGTTTTGTAACAGGGGAAAAAAGAACCTGGATAACATACTTTCTCTACTTCAAAAATATGCCACGGTCAGTGGATAGATGATTAATCACAGGAAAAGTTCACTTCTATGCTGCAATAAGCTATCTCTTAGCAGGAAAAGCCTTCTCGTGGCATGGACAAGGTTTGCTATTACTCCTGAGGTACTGAAGTATCTTGGCATGCCTCTATTTAAAGGGAGATGTCGTATCTATTATTTTGTTTATCTAGAAAACAAACTCAAGGATAAATTAGCTGGTGGGAAAGAAAGGCTCTTGTTTGCTGGAGGGAAAATTACTCTGATTCAAAGTGTTCTTTCATCCATTCCGATTTACTCCATTCCCATCCCAAAAAACAACAATATCTAGACTATAAAGTTACATCTCCAATTTTTTTTAGAATAATGGATAAGAGAATAGGCACCACTGGATTAGCTGGCGCAAGGCTTCTCTTCCGAAGCATGAAGGTGGCTTAGGGGTAAAGGATTTGGGTGAGGTGATGAAGTCCATGAAGGGCAACCTGGCTTGGGCATATCTATCTAGCACCTCCTTATAGAGAACATTTATCCGAACTAAATATGGAATGCTTGCTACGATCTCCTCCTTTGATAGCAATAAAGGATTTATCGCTTGGAAATCCCTACTACCACACATTCGGTCCTCATTGGATAAATTAATATGGGTTGCAGGTAAAGGAAATATTCAAGTTTGGGTTGATAAATGGGCATAACCTGAGCTTCCACATGCTATAGCTAATGAAAGATATTACATTAGTCTAAGCCAAAATTGATTCATCGCTCTTTTCCTCCTTTCCTGCACTAGTGAGAAAGGAGCTGGAGGCTGTGCACTTAGACACACTAGGGTGGAGGATAACTTATGTTATATGGACTTAAAATCTAGAAAATTTAGCACTAAGATGTATCATGAGGTGAACTAAATTAAATGGTAAAATTTTGAATGATGAAGGAGCCTATGGAACAAGTGGATACCTACTAAATTGGGAGTCTTAATCTGGAAATGCTACATAATACGTTAGCAATAGATGCCACTATTAAAGCATGCGGGGTATCCATAGCTTCTAAATGCCAGTGTTGTAGATGTCCTTATGAAGAATCAAGAGACCATTTGTTCCTTCACAGCGAAGTAGCGATGCATTTATGGCTTTACTTTGGAGATCTACTCGACGTTGCACTAAGAGCAAATACAGTGCAGCAATTGATGTTTAACTAGCTAACCAAAGGTAAAGTCAGTTCTCAAAAGTCATTCTCGCATATGGTAACCTTCAACTGCCTAATATGGGAAATTTGGTTGGCCAGAAATAAAGCCTTTTTTAAGGATGTATCTATGAATCCTGTTGGCATTAACTACAATGAATTACGCTAGTTGTACGATATGAATAAGCTTTTCCAATCGAAAATGAAATATTTCCTTCGATGACAGCTTATGCCTTTAAGCGTTGGGCATGACAGTGTAGACCTCATGCATGAAAAAAGGAAGATGGGTTAGGTGGAAACGTCCTCCTACATGCACACTCAAACTGAACATCAGTAGAGCTTCTAGAGGAAATGTATACATTGGAGGAGGCATTTTACGAGATGAACATGGAGCATTAATATTGGCATTATCATACTTATTTGGTTCTGACACTAACAACAAAGGTGAGGCCTTAGTTTTATTGGAGGGGATCAAATTATGTAAGGATTACTGCTACCTTCCACACATTATAGAACTTGATTCAGGCGTCACTCTCGTGGGAGTTTCGCACACCAGGGAGATCCATTGGAACCTAACATATATTTATAGGGAGTGCTGGGCTAATATCTCACAGGACTCTAACCTTCAACATGTGCTTAGAGAAGGAAACAAAGCTATGGATAGTCTCGCACGTTGGGCCTTTGAGCATGCATCACAAAAAATAATATTCTCTACTACAGAGCTCCCAATGATATGTCAACAAACCATTAGGGATGATAATATAGGATTGTTTTCTTTTCGAGCTTCTAAAGTCTCCTGGGCCAAAAATTAAACTCTTTTTTGGGAGTTTTTAGGTAAATAACTTATGTTTTAGTATAGTATAAACTTGCACTACATAGGGCTGTTATTGTTATTTAGGAATCTCCTATATAGTTCAGGGGTTTAAGTCTCCTTGTCCTCCCAATCTGTTGGGATAGGTTGGTTTGCCCTCTTGTATTTTATTTCACTTTTTATCAATAAATTTTTAGGGTATAACCCCTATTCAAAAAAAAAAAAAAAAGATGGTTCACTTGAATAGAATAGTTTCTAGCGACTTAAATGAATGATGTCGAATTCGAGTTTTTGTGTATATAAAAAACTCTTTGGATAACTATCTTTGTCTTATGTATTTGATAAAACAGTGAGAGATTAGTTTGGATTTTAAATCCGAAATACCCCGAGGTGTTGTTTGGTTACTAGGAATGAAAGGTCTAGAATAGAAATATAGGAATCGGAATGAAAATTAAGGAATCAAAATGATATTTGTATTTCTATATTGCGATTGAAATACTAATGAGGAATT